AGCCAGTTATGTTCAACAGTTTTTCAGATATATATGTGCTCTTTGTATGTCTCCATTGGAGACGTGTGTATTGATTTCAGATCCCCGTGTTCAGACTGGGTCTTTGGATTTGACGGGTTTGATTTCTCGATTCCTTCATTCTTACCGGGCGGAACTGAGCAGGGATCATTTTCTGGCCTGGGAGGGTGGACAGAGGGCTTCAGGGCACAAAGCAGCCTGAAGCATTCTGGCTCTGCAGTCCACCCAACATCGGAGTGTGAGCTCCCCTGCACCCCACGAGCTGAGAAGGCCTACTTAAGCTCTCTGGCCTCCAGGTCCTTACCAGTCCAGGCACTTGTGGCAGTTCCCTTGTCAGAGCTTCCACCATAATTTTCAGCCTTCTGTGTGGCCTCAGTTTGTGTGGAAGGCTGGGAGAATCACCGGAGACCAGGCAGTGATGGGAGGAGCCTTCCAAGGGCTTCCGATCCGCTGGGTGCTGGCAGTGGGGGCCCTGCAGAAGCAGAGGGTCGGTGTCGCTCCGAGCCTTGCCACTTAAGCCTTGTGCTGTGGGTCCTCAGAGACAGGAAGAGGCCCCATAACTAGAGTAGATCTGTAAATTCGCTGACCAGAGGAAAGCAGGAAAGGGAGTTCAAGCAGCTGTTGCCAGCATGGCGGGCACAGTAAACTGTGCAGTTTAGGTAGCAACACAAAATGAGGCATGTCTCCTTTTAAAACTGGATTTCAGGAAGAAACTGGCACTGGATCCTTAAGAATTCTAATATGAAGCTATTCTTCTCAAAAAATTATGGGGCAAAATCGTCCTATTATTTGACCTTTCCTCTTCTTCAGACATGTAGGATGTGGAAGCCTGAATAAAACTTGCATTAGAAGTTGGCTCCCGTTTTCTCCGACAGCCACCTGCGCTCCTGAGCTGGCGCCTCTAGGAGCAGCGTGTCCCAGGCCGGCACTCTGCAGGCTGTACGGGAACCTCAGCTCTGCGTAGGTCGAGCTCTTCCACAGTCAGAGGGATTATGAGAGCCCTCTGTCGCGGGGCTGGAAGGCCCCGTCTTGGGTCTGGCTGTGGCCAGTCTCTCTTATTCTTCCCTTTCCAGGAGAAGGATTCTGCAGTCAGACTAGGGAGCCGCGGGGAGACTGTTGTCTTCCTTGCTTGTTGTTCCATGTGGCTCCACAAGGAACTCAAATAGGAAGCCGAGGAAAAGCCTTCTGTGCCGTGCAGGAAACTGCTGACAGACACCTGCGTGAGACGCGTCCCCGTCTGTCTGAGAAAAGCTGTCCCGAGAGCAGCAGGACACATCCGCAGAGGGTCAGAGCCACGGGAAATGGCTACTTTAAGAGCTGTGAAGTGTACGTGGGATAACTTGCTTAGGTGGTCTTAACTCTAGGCTGGTTTTTGAATTAAATAAACATATTCTGTGCTGGGGCTTTCCCTGGCACCCTAAACTGTCTTCCACTCTCTGAGCTGCAAGCAGTCGCCTCACCTTTCCTTGGGCCCTGGTGTCTTTTGCAGTGCTCAGGGTCTGCCTCCCGTAAGGGCAAGTCCCTGACAGGCTGTGCCAGAGGACTAGGGCGGCCAGGGGCATGGGGTTGGGCTGCGCACCCTGGCATCCCAGCCCTCTTGGGCAGCTGAGACAGGAGGATCCAAGTTCAAGCCCAGGCCAAGCAGCTTAGTGACTTAGCAAGACCTTCTCTTAAAATAAAAAATAGCGGTGTGCAGCTCAGTGGCAAGTCCTGGGTCCCAGCGCCTACGCTCATACCGCGAGCAGGGCCAGGCGGAGAGACGGAAGCTCGGCATCTTCATTTCTAAGGTGTCACAGTTCTCCTTTGCTGTTCATGAAACAGAAAAGACACCTCTGCTGACTCACAGAGACATGGCCAAGGGGTGGAGGGCCGCTCTCCACCTGGGTGTGGCCCCCTGCACTTCCTTGCTTCTATTTTACATTGGGGGAAAAAGTTTAAAAACCATGAAGGCCTTGTTTAGATTAGGATTGTAATGATGAACCCCTGACACTCCCCGTCCTTGCCTCCCGTGGGAAGCACAGACCATGGTGGACACGGCCCAGGTGCCAGGGATGCCCAGAGTGCAGACAGAGCAGGCAGATGCTGACATCCGGGGCACACGGGGCTGCCCACCACCCGAGGAGTGGACACGGTCAGTGCTGGGCACCGCTGGAGCTGAGCTGGTCTCAGGCTCACCTGGGCAGGGGGTCGTTCAAAACAGGAAGGAATGCTGACAGCCAGAATGGTTTTGTGATGTTGTGCCTTTCTTGTCAAAAAACAGGACAGGGAAGACCAAGTTCTGGTGCTGTTTTTTAGCATTTACTGTGTCTTCTAACTTTGAAAAGGCTGCACCTAGGATAAGATGGAGGAAACTCAGCAGCTATCATGACTTCCTTAAAGCAGGCGACTCTTGGCTTGCCTTCTGGTCTCTGTAGTCTCAGTCCCCTACAATCTGTGAGAGCTCCGGGGAAGATGGAACTAAAGACGGACAGCAGGAGGCAGCTGCACAGGCCGTGATTCTAGCTCTTCGGGAAGTGGAAGCAGAAGGTCCCAAGTTTAAGTCCTGCCTGGATGATGTAAATGATGCACTGAGCCCCTGATTCAAAATAATGCTGTAGGTTCAATCCCTGGTTCTGAAAATGAAAACAGAAAGACATAAATAAAAATCAGAAAGCAAAGAGAACCAGTCAGTGATTTGATGACTATGCGGATTGGCTTTGAAATATACCACATGCGGGAAAATTACACTTGTCCCAAAAGAAGTAAATTTCATATAATTAAAAATGTGCTAGTAAATCTTACCCTGGAGCACATGAATGATTACAGTCTGAGACAAAAAGTGCCCCTCAGTTGTGGCCTGCACTCTGGAGGCAGCTCGGCGCTTGGGTGGCCTCAGAAAATTCTGAAGAGTGTGAAGCTGGGCTTCTTCCAGTTCAAGCACGTGTGAATTCTGCTTTAACTTGCACCAGCTGATGGGGGAGAGGAAGCCCAGGGACCGGAGACAGCAGCCCTGGGATCTGACGGGGTGGGTGGGCAGGGCCCGGCCTGACCAAAGGCAGTGTGCACAAAGCGGTTTTGAAAGCAGGCACTCGCTTTCCTACTCCAGCACTTTCTAAGCGTTTATTTCACACCACACATACCTGGTGTCAGGTCTAGTGCTCTGGCTATTTAGGAATAAGTGGCATCATTTTGTTGCCTTCTTCTAAAAATTTTCCCATCAAATGATTGCCTGTCCCAGAGCCTCTCTCTGAAGCCTCGGCGAAACATGTGCTTAGTCTTAGATTGCCCGTGCTAAGGGCTGGCAGGGACCGTCCCTTCCCGGCAGGACTGTTGTCAGGGCAGAGCGGTCGCCCTTGTGCCACTGAGCACCTGCCCGGCTTGGACTCAGGCTCACTCCAGACCCACTCGCCGGGCTCTCAGTCCCTCGCTTCCCGGCTCTTGTGAGCACTGTGGACACAAACAGCCCCCCTCCAAGGGCCAGACACTGACCACCATCACACGGCCTGATGGAAAGACAGGAAGGCAGACCTCCTGGATTTCCCCTACAGTGGACTCCAGAGAGGTGAATTTTTGCCAGTGCCATTGTAGAGCCAAGCCTGATTTAGCTTAATATTGAAAATACCCATTTCCCCATTCTACCTTTTTTTATTTTTTTCAGAAATGGGGATTGAACTCAGACCCTTGCGCTTGCCAGGGAAGCGCTTATTCCACTGAGCCATCTCCCCAGTCCCCCATTCTAGCCTTTTTAACCATTCTCCCACTAAGGCTGAGAAAAACACACTTTGCGTCTCATCACATTCCTTCACTAATAAAACATTTAGTATGTCATGATTGGATAGGATATATGAAGAAAGAGTCGAAGTAGCGTTTAAGGATACCCTTTCCCAGTCTTGGAGGTCCTTTTCTCTTCATTTTTAATCTTACTGGGATGCAGGAGGTGCAGCCGGAAGAGCTGACCTGAGCACGCGCCTGTCCGGGTCCCCTCCCGTCCTGACTCTGCTCCTCCTGGGCAGGGCCTCCTTTCCCCAGGTTTGTTGCCCTGCTTCCTGGTACCTAGCTTTGCTTTCTCCGTTAGTTTACCTTTTGGGTTCTCTTCAGAGAAGCACGGATATTTCATTGATAGCAAAGACGCTTCCTGGGTCCGAATGTTAGGGACGGAGCCCGGCCTCCTCCGGAAGTGCCGCCCCCGCCCGCCCGGCCGGCACTGGAGGAGAGGGCCGGCTGTCCCGCAGCCCTGTCGCCGCAGCCCTCCCACGGAGCCTGTGTTGCCGCACCCATTCAGGGCAGCCGCGTGGCTGGCTGTAGGGAATGCTCTCCAGGGAGCCGCTGAGGCACGCACCTTGGGATCTGCGCCTCCCAGCGCTGCGGCGGCCCGCGGGGCGACGGCATTGTCTGAAAACAGACCCCAGCACGTCCCGGGACTGAAATACTCTGTATGTGTTGTTGTTTGCAGTGCATGCCAAGACATTCATGAGCAGCAGAGCCAAGCGGGCGAGCTAATTAAATATTATATGTGTGTGTGTTTAAAACAGCGTAATAAGGAGCGTTGGAAATCTTCAAGATGAGCGAATATCTTATAACTTCTTCCGCAGGTGCGAGGATAGCTACAAGCCATGGACTTTCTGTCCTGCTTCTTGTTTGTGGCTTTGTGAAGGGTGCTTTGCTTTAATCTAAAGTGCTGACTTTTTTCCAATATCACTTTCTCTTCTTAAAGCAAAGAGCAAATCGCCTGTAATACCTACGGAGCGGACAGCAAAGTTGACCCTAAACTCCAAGCACCACTCAGCACCCTCTGTACTATAGTTACCTACACCAGGAGCTCCTGCTTCGGAAGCGTAAAGGCGGAGGCTATCCCACGCTTCGTTCCTAATGTTTTGTTTGGCCAGTCGCTGATCTTTCATTCCAAGAGCACTAGTGTGCCGCGGTAGGACCTTTCCTATAGCAGGACCTGTTTTTCCCCTTTTCTTTCGGCGGATAACATCACCACCGCTCTGACTGCTCAGGGGCTGGCCAAGGCATCGCATCACGGCTCTTACTGTGGATGCCACTGAGTTCCTCCCAAACGGCCCACTACCAGCGCAGGAAGCCAGCAGGAGCCTGGTCGGCAGGACAGAAACCGTCATCTGACCGCGCCCTTCCGGGGCAGGGACACGGTCGTCAAGGCTGCGAGTGAGCAAGGAGGCCTGTCTCAAGGAGTGATCACTGGAAGGTTTTTTTTCCACCTTTTTCCTGGATTTTTTTCCTCTTTTCCCGATCCCAGCTCTGGATCCACAGTGGGGAGCCCTGCTCGCGGCCAGTCCCTGTCCGTCGTGGGAGGTCTCTGTGACTACACTTTGAGTGCTGTATGTTTCGATGTATTTTAATTCATTTGGCAATTCTTGTACATGCAGACCTCACGAATTCTGTAAATTGCTTATAGTACATGTGCTATAACTTCAAAGTAGACAGACTCTGAGCCTCATGCGAGCCAATTCTTATCATTCTGTATACAGATATATACGTACGGATATCTCTGTGTTGGGCCACCAACCAACTTCTTTTGACAAAGCGTTTGCTTTTCATCGTAACCCATGTGTGCTGTGTACCTCGTAGTGGGGCCTTCAGCTTCGCAGCTTGGCAGCCTCAGATGGTCTCTGTTGTCCTCTGCTTACTACTGAAAGTACATGTTCAGAACTCTGCTCGTCCCTGATAAATGGATTAATTTTGTTGTGTGTATGCTATGTTGGAATTTGCCATGTTCCTTTACATCTGGTGTTCGCTGATGTCAGAGGGCTCTCCTGGGGGAGAACACGCTGGCAGTCTTGTGCCTGTCAGCGCTAGAAAGTCTGCCTCCAGGCCGATGTGGGAGGGGAGTCGGAGCCCTCGGTGCCTGCGTTCATAGGAAAACCTTTCTTGCTATGGCTAAAATATGCTGCTTCCTTTGACCTGTGTGGATTTTTGTAGCTTTGCCATTCTGTTATTTGCTGCTAATTATATTTTAATGTCTCCTAATTAAAAATTAAAATTTGGTTGTTGGCTAAATACAGTATGCAAATGATGGCTGCAGATCTCCTCCCGAAGATGTTCATTCAGTGTCACGAGGTGGCAAATTAGGACTGCAGCGTCTCACCCTGTTTCTGGCTTTATGATCATTCAGGCTATTTTATGTGGAACCTGTGTGTTACTCTGGCCGAGAAAGACAGAAGTATTCGTGTGTCGTGAGTACACTGAGGGGGCCCGGAGGGGGCAGCTGGCTCGCTGTCCTTCCAGAGAGCGCTCTGCTTCCTTTCTGCGAGAAGCCGAGCGCTGGCCCGCACGGGCATCCTCCGGGCCTGCGCCTGGCGGGGGTGGAGGCCTCCCTGGCGCAGAGGCAGATGCGCTGGCTGCTGCCACTCGCTTGTAGCGGAGTGCATATTTTCATAATATTCTTGACATTCTCTTCTGAGAAAGAATGTTTCATGCTGCATTTATTTCTTGCCATTTTTCTTGTTCATTTGATTTATTGTTTTGGTCTAATGAGAAAAATAAATAAAGGTTTTGATTGCGCTATTTTATTAACCTAGGAATGTATTTTCTTTCAAAGATTAATACCTTTAAATGCCTAGTATAGTAAGATAACTGTCATCCTCAACTGTCTCGGCTCAAAGGATCGAGTACGTTAAAGCATCAGAATTCTGCCTGGATTCAGTCCAGCTGGGAAAATGTGCCCTGTCGCAGGCGTCCACTCGAGCTCAGGAGGTGAGGGCCTCCGTGCTGAGTGGACGGACTGGCACCTCAGTCGGCATTTCACCGGGACAGGGCTGGAGGCGGAAGCAGAAGAGCACTCACGAGACTCACTGTGCCGGTGCCCGGACAATGCCTCCTGCTGGCCAGCGTGCTGCCCGGTGCAAGCCGCTCTGCGAGCAGACACAGCATGCCGTGTGTCCGCGCAAGCTCAGAGAAATGGCGTGGAGGCGTACGTGCGAGAATGGAAGTGGTGACACATGAAGGAGAGCATCTAGGTTTGCGCTTGATGTTCTGGCCCTGGAGTGGTGACTGTATGTTATGACTATGGGAATGAATAAAGACTAAATATAATTGATCTGGCTTCTCAGCCTGTTTCCAAGGTTTTGCGACATCTTTCAGAAGACAGAATCATTGAAAGTTGAAATTGGTTACTTGAGTTCAAGCCAGAGCCTTTCCTTGTTCTTTGTTCTTAGTTCTCTGTCTCTCTCTCTCTGTGTCTCTGTCACTGTCTCTGTCTCTCTCTGTCTCTCTGTCTCTCTCTGATGTATCAACTACTTACAAATGCAAATGAAAGTACCTGAGGGTGGAGTAAGGCAAATTTCCCCAAGGCAGAGGCTCTTAATCTAGATTAGTCAGTAAGCTTGGTGGAGCCTCTAAGCCCGGTGACCTTCCAGTAGCAGTTCCGCGCCCATGAACCCTAAGCCAGTGTTGTGGCCCTTTCTGTGATGCTTGCCCTGCACTAGAGGTCATCAGTGGTCTTGAGATGACGTGATGAACACAGTCTAATGTGTGTACGATACGTGCAGATCTCATAGCCTTCCGTAGAAGAGATGGGAGCGTCCCGGAGGGTCCCAGGCAGCTGCATGTCTGTGCTGCACGTACGTGCATTTGCCTAACGGAGATGCTCCTGCACAGTAATTGATTCTGAAAACGGTTTACTGCTCATTGGCTGGCCTGGGAAAGGAAGACTTAGATATGAAGACCTGACCTACATGTTGTTAGCCTCAAATTTCTTGGAAGCAAGATGTTTTCAGGGAACTCTATTAGGACAACACACACACACACACACACACACACACACGACAATATTTTTAAACCCAGGAAAAGTGGCTTTTAAATGTGCTGTAGTGTGGAATAACAGGCATGGAGCGATGCTTGGTGGATTCTGGCCGAGACGCTCATGGGAGTCTTCAAGAGGACGCGCAGCTGCTGTTCAAACAAGTGGCCCCGCACTGACCCTATGTGAAAGACAAACTGTCGCGTATGAGTTAGTGCTGGTTTGTTACAAGAGGTCATTATAAGGAAAATGCACTCTTTCTGAGCTAATACATAACTAGTGTGGCTCGGAATCGAGACTGCAGCTACGAAGCTGTGTGCACATAAATTCAAACAGGAAGCCCAAGTGGCTTCATTTCTGGAGCTGCTCACTGAGGAAAGGGACGTCCAGTCAGTGGGGACGAGGACCTGTCCTCCTTGCAGGCATGGAGAAGTTCCCTGGAAAGCGGCTGCCTCCCTGGAAGCATGGTCGCGCGTGGGGCAGGACCTTCGCTGGACTGCTCCGCCCCGGGCGTGAGCTGTGCTGTGGCAGCTCCTCCACCAGCCCTTGCCACCTGCGCCTCAGTCACCCAGCAGCCACCTTCAGGAGTGGAGGAACTGTCGCCATGCCCTCATGCGTGTCTCTGCCCCTGGCGGCCTTTGTTAGCGTTTCCCAAGCCCAGAGGGTAAAGCGGGCAGCATGGACCGGCAAAGGGAAGCCACAAGCGCTTCCTGGACTGCAAACGACCGGCTCCCAGGGTTCTCGTCAGCGTGGGTGGGTGGGTGGGTGGGTGCAAGGGCACACGGTCCAAGCAGGCCCCCAGCCCACAGAAGGCTGGCAGGACACCCTCGGGGAGCCACAGTCTGCTGCACGTTCAGGGGATATGCAGAGGCTGGGGTGCAGAGGCGACCCCCACACGCCAGTCAGAAACACGGTGACTAAAAAGGTGCAGGGGAAAAGGTACAGCGTGACACATTCAAAAGCTCCACAATACAAATCCCAGAAGTCAGTGAATTCAAGGGACAGAATTTCAAGGGAAGGAATCATGATAGATTGATTTTATACTTAGATTATGTTTTCACTGTTAAAGAAATAAAATCATTTTGAGGTAAACAAGGCCTAGTAAAAGTTGACTACACACTATTTTAAAAAACTGCTACCTCTATCCCCCAACTGAGAAAGGAAATTAAGCATAATACAAAGTGTCTACTATGTGGGCTCAGAAATTGTGTTAAATATAAGGAATACTGGAGTATTTTATCTTCCCAAACAGTACTTGCCCTTACTTTGTAAATGTAATGTAATGTTTTGCATGTTGTTCATATTTTTTTCTTTTCGGTCATGTTTGTCACTGCATTAAATTAATTTTACAGCTGCAAGCTGAGGAAGTCAGAGGTGCATTTTATTCTAAAGCATGACACAAAAGAGGAACATGATGCAAATATGTAGCATCAAAGGCTTCCTCGAGTTCTGAATTCTCGTGTTGCCAAGAACTGGAAACTGAAGACGAGCCGGATGAGCAAAGAGCCTTTCGCCCTCTGTGCCACAGCAGCTGTCTTGGGCAGCGTGGAGCTGCTTTCCATGTCTGAGGCTTTCTGTTCTGCTGTAGGTTTGGTCTTTCTCTGGGGGCTTTGCCTTCTCTGAACCCCCTTCCTATCTGGAGATTAGTCGCAGCCAGGGAGGCAGTGGGGTGAAGACCTGCCCTCCTTCCAGGCACGGAGAAGTTCCCTGGAAAGTGGCTGCCGTACTGGAGTAAGGGGTCACACCGAGCACTGCCCGAGGGAAGCAAAAGGAGGTGTGGACGCCCTAGTGCTTCATTGCCATTGGGCCCAGTTTCAGGGTGGATGACTCGACCTCCAGTGAAGAAGCAGGAAGACGACTCTCGAAGCCACACTGTATGGTGTAGCAAGAAAAGCCCTCCGTTCCTGAAATCTGAACCTTGAGCCACCATAGCACTGTCTCCCAACTTTCAGGGTCAGCTCGCAGGCCTGTGCACCCACCTCGCAGAGAGAGCGTCGGTCCCCGTGAAGTCAGCTCACGGGCGAGTGTGCACCCTTCCCCCCAGCTCTCCCAAGGAAGCCCTCAGAGACTCCCCAAGCAAGGCAGATGCCTGCCCCAGTGGTGTACTCAGACAACAGCTCGGAATGAGAGCTGCATCTGGGGCCCTGGGGAGCCCTAGTCAAGTATGTGGGGGACAGGTGGCGAACGGGATGTCTCCCAGGGTCAGCGGGGCCCACGGACCATGTCCCCATCTGCAGCTATCTCCCTGGCTCCTAAGAGATCGGCGAAGTGGACAGTATGAGGGACTGAAGGTTCTCTGTCCTACAAGGCAGGGAGGGGCTGGGAGCTGGCCGAGGGCCTTCTTCCGCATGGAATACTTTATCCCTGCAGGAAATGGAACAGCAGCAGCACTGCCAGAGATAAGGTGAGACGACCCCTTTCTCAGATGGCGCAGAGGGCAACAGAGGCTTGGCCAGGGTCACCGGAGCAAGACTAAATGCGGTGCGGCTGCCCGTGCTGATGCAGGCTGTGTCCTGGGGCGGGCCAGGCTGGACTGTGCACCTTCGTGATCAAACAGTTTGCACTTCATTAAAATTAGAATATTTTTTAAAAAGGGCTTTATTATGCCAGGCAGGACCAAGTGCCCCTCTCTCTTCTGTCTGCTAGGCTGCATTAGTGTCCAGGTCTGAGCCACAAGCAGTCTGCCTGGCCAGCTCCCACAACAGGCCTGCAGAAAGAAGCCCAGAAGGCTGACCATGCTTGCGCTCCTTGGGCTTTGCCCAGAGTGCAGGCCCTGGAGGGCTGCACGTGTCTCTGCACGCCCAAGGAGTCCCAGCCCGTCACTTACCAGCTATGGCAGTGAACAGGAAGGTCAGTTGTGCTTTCCAGTTCATTTTCTGAGGCTCAGGGCATGTTGCCTGCCAAGATATTGAAGAGGGGCAGCTTTAGGCCAGCCTAACTCATGACAGCAGGCACGGAGCTCACCCACAGAATGTCAGCAAACAAACCCAGCAAGATGGGATGTGTCGCGTGGCATAAACATGGCTCTCTTCAGGAGTGGGAAGCTGGGGAAAGCACGTGATGTTCCCCACCATGAGAGACTGGATTTCTGCAGAAGCAAACCAGGTTAGAGTGTGACCCCAGTTCACTGCTTGGGGAGTTTGGGAACCCTGGGTGGGGGGGAGAATGACAGAGAAAGAAGCGTCCCCAAGCGAGCTACCAGGAACAGCGGGGAAGTGGCTGTGTAACACACAGGCGACCACCTCTGGCCAAAGAAGCCGCTGGAACGCTGAATATGCTCATCTTGGCTTGGAAACGCCCAGCAGCATAGATGCACGTGGCCTGCTGGTGCGTGGTATGTGACACACTGTACCTGGTCCTCTCCTTTTCCCGTCTGCTGTTTCCCTGCTCCGGGTCACAGTCTCCATAAACTGCCACCCCATGCTTTTGCTCTCTCACCTTCCACCCTCTTGTCTCTCCACTGACTGTGGACTTCACCCATGAGCAAATTGCATTTTTCTCCTCCCAGTCATGTGTTTTGAGTTTCAGTGACCAGAAAGCAAATGGACACGAATGTCTGCTGTAGTTTCCAGGGCATCTCAGGAGAGAACCACAGCAGCTGGGGCCAGAGGTGTGGGGGGACACACTGCAGGACTGGAGCAGAGGCCTCTGGGACATCCCACCTGCAGGCCACGTGTGATTGCGGACAGCCACTGATGTGGCTTTCCGAAGCTGCAGACTCTGAGAATAGTTCGTGATTTGGATGATATTTTTCTGCTTTGGTGCAAATGGATTACTCCAAGGGGCGGACACCGCGCTGCACTGTTTTCCAGGTGAAGCCATGAAGGGTAAAATCAGATCGGAAGGTTTTCAACAAGTACCTTGCGAATGCACTGAGATTTCAGCTACTTCTGTGGAAGCAGACTTTGAAGCATTATCTCCACAAGTCGAGGTCAGATGTTGTGTTTCTGTTATCCTCTCTTATAGTAAACATTTTAAAGTAAGAGAAGTATTTTTTTACTTGTATGACCTATATTATACATTTCATATACAGCCAAACCAGTTCATCTTCACATAGTGCAGCCCGGTGAGATGAAAGGCTGGACACCCACGTGAGACGCCATTTGCAGACGCTTACACCTGTGTCTCGGAGGAGGAGAAAAGGGCTTTGATGAGGCCCAGCTCTCACTCAGGAGTAGTTGTTTCCCCTGACAACCAGGAGTCCAGGGCAGTAGGGCGATGCCCATGGTCCATATCCATCTTCCATGCAAAAGTGTTCTTCTTTTTCCCTGGGCACC